TATATATATATATATATATATATATATATATAATATATATATATATATATATATATATATATATATATATANATTATATATATATATATATAAATATATATATTATATTATATATATATATATATATATGTGTGTGTGTGTGTGTGTGCGTGTGTGTGTGTGTGCGCTGGTATACATATTCTATAGCATGTATCAAAATATATGTCATACCAACGCGATGGCTAATACGCCTTTGTCATCCTCCTTATTGTCCGCATCCACCAGCAGACTCAACATGCCCCTCTCCACATTTAGCAACGAGCGTAGACCTTTCAAGAACTCGTACATCTTCTGACCCGTTTCAGGAGTGTCTCTGCGTATGCGAAGAGGATACAAGCGGTTATGTTGAGCGGTGAACATTGCAATGATGCGACTGCAGCACTATAGCACACTGGGCGTGTGCAACAATCACTATAGTCCAAAAAATATGTTGCCAAGTGTGGCTGTGGATGTATGTCTGATAGTGATTTGTTAAGGGTTCTAGCGGATTGTTCACACTGGGAATTCGGCGTCGTTGCAAAATGACACAGGCTTTATGTTGAACGAAACAGACTAGATACACGCACTTATAAGACAATAGACTTCGCATGACTTTATATAACTCTTGTATAATTCATGCTATCTATACGAGACATCACTTTACTTACAACCTTACCCTCCTCTATCAAAAACGCTCCAAAAATAGCACAAGAATATTTAAAACCCGCAAATGATGAAAAAAGAGTGCCGCTCGATAGAGTGAAACATATGCAATGGCCAAGGCAGTCACTTCACAGTCCAAGGGATATCAACCGAAGTAATGAACCCCCTCGTGCTGGTACACGCACGTTGGAGAGGAATTCCAGCACTTTACAAGAACACCACAAGGATCTGAAACAGGGCCATACAAACGTCTCCGTTTCAGATTGATATGGTTTTTGCGCAGAGTGTAGAAATGCCTCTCTCAACGAGAATATGTACGCACAAGGCTTTCCATTGCCTCGTCTGCTATCCGCTGGACTGATAAGACTTCGCGTTGTCTGTTACGTATATTTCACTCCATCGAGCAGCATTGCGGGCATTAATTCCACCTGTGCTCGTCGGAGCGCTATCGATGAGATCGGTAACCATACTAGACCATGACTCTCGAAAGAGAAGATAAAGCAAGAAATTACCTAAACGACTAAGGCCATTAAAAGGGCCTTAATCAGACAGAGCATTCCCCGCAACACACTGAACATACCTGTCCTGTCCCGTTGCCAAGCCTGTGAGTATATTGAAAATCTTCCGCATGCCACCTGCCTCGATAAAGGAGGTGACCCACGCCAGCCGCTTATTCCCCAATTCAACACGCATCGAACTGAGCATCTCCAGCGACAGATCGGCGGATAGAAAGTCTACGTATCGCTCGGCTCTATCGGCGGTATCTCTGACCTGTTTTAAATGGAGGATAGGGTTCAGGTTCTAGTATCGAGGGCATAGGTATGCCCGTCAACGAATGGTACAAAATGGGAATACAGGTATGCTGAACTTTGGAGGTGGTGATGTCTCTCTATTTAAAACAGGTAGTATCCCAAGCATACATTACAAGTCGCTTATGTTTTACCCGCGGCAATCAATCAGACCTATACTCGTGAAATGGAAATATACATACACATATACTCGTGCAGGGACATACATACACTCCAGACAGGCAATTCCTTCTACATTCAGTGGGAGAGAGTATGCAACACACATATGACATAAAGCCCTATTTATACACAACGTTCGCTTCGTGTCAGTCTCCAGTTAGAGGGTGCATGGTGACTGTGAGTGTACGAGGCTGGAGTGCTGCATAGCATACCACGGGCTGTGAAAGCGCAAAACATACAGGGACAGTAACAAACGCCCCTCACTACACAACCATATCTAACTTAAGACAAGTGTGTATCCTGGCACGATAGTTTTGAATGGCGGCTGCCGACGAAAACTCTCGTACCAGACGTAATCGGGTAATCGTGTACATGCACACCGATAAACAGGGTTCAGTTTAAGTGGTTTGTCTGCACACATGTCTAGTGGGATCTTTTGACCCAGTATTGAGCTCTCAATACTGTACTGCAGACTCATACACACGGTCTGTATTGAATCCATTTGTTTGCATGCGCACACTTAAACTGCATGGTAACTTACATGCCGGCTGCTCTGTTTGTCGCTTTCATTTTGCTGCAACAACTGCCATTTGTGCTCGTATGACATCGTCTCGTTCATTTTCGCAATCTTGTCGTCGGGAATGCCCAGTCGTTTCTGTAGCATGGAGAAGAATGAGCAATGACGGATCGATACAAAGCAACATACAAACGACCGAAAGTCGACATCTGTGTAAACGCGCTCAACTGTATCACTTAGATAAGTTTCGATTTTTCAAAAACATGACACTGGTATAAGTTGCGAACAATACCTTGATTACCAGATTGATATCACAAGTATCCTGTGGCATATATGTACAAACGAGTAAAAAGTACGCATATATATATATATATATATATACATCCAAAAAAGAAACT